CCTACTCCATTTACCCATTAATCTTCACCCTTATAAGTCGATACCCAGGTGGACAGTTAATTTATCTTATTAATAGGCAATGACCGTTTGCAGTTGAATAATAGGTCGTGAAATCGTGTGAAGTCAATAAATTCTGGTAGTCTCAAGATCTTTGCCTTGTTGAAATTTCTTCCGGGAAATCAATGTTTTAATGTTGCCCAGGTTATAGGAAAGACACGCTTACAGCAAGAAAGGACCAACAAAGTTAAACAAGTCTAGTAAAAGAAATCTATCATCGAAAGGCACAAGCATTCAGTTTTGCTTTTAAGTGCACCCAACATAAAGGTAAACAAAATACGTTAGGCCGGAAGACATAATCCGAGAAAAGGTTACATAAAGAAAAAACTTACGCTCCATGACGTTTTGTTGAGAGAGATGCCGATTTGCCAACCAACTAAAAGTTTGCGCAATAAAGTGTCAATGAAAAAATAACATATCACAGTATATCTCTGATGAAGGTAAGCTAATTTGTGAGGCGTAAATGCAGAAAAGAGATGTCTGTATTCTTGCAGTGAAAGTTAGAAGGGTCTACAAAAACCGGTAGTGGTATATTGACAATCAAAACTTTCATATAACGGCAGGGGTTCGAGGGGCACGCAGTCGTCTGATAGTTTGGTTTTTTATCTTCGGGAATAAGTATTCCTTGAAATTAAACGCAAGACTATCTGTCATATGGGGGAAGGTACTTATTCTTGGGTCCAATTAAAAGTTCCCCATGGGTAAGGTGAAGTCGAGTCGTATTAACCGAGGGCACAGGAGACATTGGTTCGATTACCTTTAGACAGCAAAAAAATATGTAAACATACAAGGCGACGAGCAAGATATTACTTTCGGGAGAACGAAAGCTATTGACTGCACGCTTGGAAGATGTTCGCCATCTCTGGAAAGATTTTACGGCAATGCTTGAGCTGTGTACTTCAAAGTTCTCCTTCAAGTCAAAATACCGAAAAAAAAGAATTGTATGGGCATTCAACTCCCCCGTCATAGCACAGCGGCCTAACTGATCCGGTCAAGTGCCGTGCTGACTCCAGGAATAAACTAGAAGATATGTCATTTCGCTTGAATTCGGCAGATGTTCTACATCGGGTCTTAATTTTAGATTTTGCACCGCAAATGTTCTCGTGTATGGTATGCCACGAGTCACCGACTAAATTTTATGAGAGGAGAGCTTCAGAAGGCATGTAGTCTGTCAGGAACAGAAGTCTGGAGGTGAGTACGCGGAAGGTCTGTACGCCGGCACCAAATTAACACATCAATCGAATGGGTCCCCTTTGTGAACAAGACTTTAGTTTTCGGACCGTCTTACTTCTGCTATGGACCAGTATCTTGATGGCTCAGAAGTTGAACTCATGGCCTGTTTTGTAGGTGTGGATAGCAATTTTGATACAGGTAGCATTGCCAACAAAGACAGTGGAGACTGGAACGGCCATTTCTGGCTTATTAGCCGTCGTCGGCCAGTTATACATAAACCCAAGAGATGCACCACCCGGGCTCGAACCCGCGACATTTTGATCGGAAGTCCAACACTAAAAATATTGTTTGATGGTTTAAAATACTAGCCGCTGTTCGGCTGTTAGCTGAGCTCAAGAGTGAGCCCCAAGGGAGAGCTGGATAATTAAGTTCTATCAGTGATCGGTGAACGTTGATCAACACACTATTTCCTCGCTTTTCAAAATTGTGCCCTTGTGACCCCCAAACACCCCTCCTCCAGTGCAAAAAAAACACATGACACCGGTCTAGACGGTGCAGCACCTGTGCCTTAAATATTTCAGACTACGAAGGATTAAAAAGGCAGAGACAATACGCACCCATCAACTCCATCACACGCAAAGTCCGCAAGTCCAGATCCTGACTGACATCAGACTGCTCACAAGAGAGGTATTTGTGAGGAATTTCTGAAGAGATGGCCAGAAGGTCACCAAGATAGAGATCCTGCAGCCAGCGAACATTCACGCAGGGAATACCCCACAGTGAGGCCATTTCGTATTTCTTGCCCTGGGGTCTGTAAGTTGAGGTTCAAATAAAGGCTCTATAGTTTCATTTAGTGTTGTTGATAAGAAATGTCGAGGAAGTATTGGATTTCGAATAGAAGCGAATAGATGAGATGCAGACAGCAACTTGCAAGAAGATACAATCATAGGAAAGGAAAGTTTATTGGCCTAAGGTTTCAGATTCTCGCTCGAACCCGCCATCAGAGATGACAGAGAATCCGACAAGTCAGGCCAAAAAAACTCTTGTTCCAGGGATCGCAACTTTTCCTTCGGAGTATTAAATCTTAACAGATTAGCAAAGCATAGCACAATAGATGGGACGGAATAGTTCACTGGGACAGACTAAAAACGTATGGTGTCAAAAATATGGATTAGGCAGGAACGTCAAAATTCTAAGAGAACGTCTGAAAGGCTTCAAACCCAGTTGAATGAATGGCTGAAACGGGAGTAATCAGGTAAAGAAGGTGAAAGATTTCACAGAAAGCAGGCCCATTGATCGACTAAGGAAGAGCAAACACGCAAGCAGAAACGTCGGTTTCCGCACGACCGATCCACGACTTACCTCTTAAACACTAAGAGTGTGTTGGATTGATCGAGGTAATCTGTGAAGGAAGCGCCCAACTGTTTGATAATGAGTTCGATTTTCTGGCGTTCGATACCCTCAAAGCCGGTTACAGAAATCACCTAGGGGTGCAGAAGAAGAAGCGTAGACAATAACTTTTTTCAAGTTAAGAGGAGTAAATTACGTGTAAAAGCAAGAAAACAAATTGAGTATTTTGGAATATCATTATTAGAAATAGATAGGAAGCTAAATATTGCGGATTTCAGTTAAAATAAAGTGGACATCTACCGGTCAGGTCTGTAAAAGAGAAAACGTTTAATATAGACGCAAAACAAATTTAACACATGTAAGGCATTGCACAGAACTCATAAAATGTTGACCGATAAAAGAAAGAAGGAAGAATCTATGGTAATCCAAAATATGCTTCGCTTTAACTTTTGGCAAACCTTATCTACCGTTAGTGACCACAGTCTCACAATAAAAAATGAACAAATAAACACGGTGTGGCCCCCTGTTGGCTCAAGATATGCCTATAGAGTAATTACGTCGAGATAGAAGTAATTTATCACTATTTCTGGAAAAGGGACTTAAAATAAGTTTTAAAAGGAAAATATTTTTTCGAGTCTAACATTTCCTCAAATACCCCCTTATTTCTAAACTCTTGTGCCCATTCTGATGGTTTTATACTTGAAAGGACATTTGGGAAACCCTGTCACTCGTAATACTACTCTAACGCCTTTGGGTGATATTTAGAGGGAAGCTTTGTCCGATATTGCAGAAAGTATTTTAGTTGTTCTTCTTTCAAACGAAATAAGGATCATAATGACAAAACAGGGTGACTTTTAATGATAAATTACCATATCAAACCATGATAACAAGTACCTAAAGATAATTTATTAGGAATGACATTTGACGATGTGTGAAAAACTCCGTGGGTGTTTAACTCGCAAGTCGTGAACAGGTTCCTAGAACTAAACATCCAGAACAGACTAGACACGAATAAATACGAAGACTTATATTTACTACTTATTTTGTTTTAGTAGGCCATTTAGTTTGCACTTCTACAAGAAGATATTCAGACAAAAATTCTCACCTGAGAACGGATAAACGAAAAAGTGACTTCGTGGCAAAACGGGGACGGTAAGTGCAGAATTTCATAGGGCGGGATCATCTTCCCCTTCGCCAAGACATCGTTCACCCAGTATATGGTTACCACACGTTTCTTGTCGCGGAGAGCCTGCAATTGAAAGAATAGCTTTGCAAACACATTTCAACTATAAAGAAACGAAAAATTGACGCAATTCTCCATCGACAAAGCCCAATTAAATAGAAGTCTTTTCATACCACTGAAATAAGACCAAAGCTAACTTCCGCAAAGGGAGAAAATAGAAGAAAGGGGTTGTGATCTTGTTTGAACAAACAAGTATAAAAGCAAGAATGACCAGAAAGTCTTGTGTTTGTAGAGCTAGCGTACGCAAATGTATAACGCCTATATAATCTCGATGATGTTTACGCTAAGAGACGCACAAAAGTTTTTTTTTCCCCGATGCTTATCACTTACAGCAGTATGTCTTTTCAAACCTCTTACTTGGAGTAACGGAGTGTCAGCATTTTGGAAGAGTATTTGGCGAACGAACGTCGGCTTTCGATAAATTCTCGTCGCACCAGTACATTTATATGGGAAGGAGGTACAAGTTTAAACATGTCCGCCTTTTCATACATGTGAGTCGTGAGAATAGGGGAAGCGGTCGATAAAAGAAGGCTGATTACGAGGGCAG